GATCCATTTAGTGTTTTATCATATGTGCTTTAAGCAGTAAATCTCAGGTAAAATGAACTGTTCTATCTGCCAGGAAGGACTCAAACACAGACCCAAGATAAACAAAGACTGGATACAGTCGTTATATTATCTGCATGTCGTTTGAAATCTACAAGACATGCTGACTCCGTGTCTGTGTAGGTTCCTAGTCAATCAGGTCATGGTTGTCTTAAGACCTTGAAAAAAAAGGCAGCCTGACTCCTTTAAAACATTTCACTTCTCATCCAAGAGGTTTCTTCAACTTGAAAAACAAAAAGAGGGAGAGCCCCAGCTATGGAGGTGGTAGCTGACCTACCTACTATTAATCATGAGCTAAGGTTTGAAAAACCGCATGTGTCATTACCAACAGGGGTTCCAAGTAAAACCACTGGCATCATGGGAGAGTGTCTGCATCTAAATTTCACTCTTTCATGGATGCCAATGTTCACATTTTGGACAGAGAAGACAGATGGTTTGAAAGAGATCTAAAAGAGGCCATTTATGTCCACTGAATCACCATCACTGGACAGAGATGGTGGCTTTCCACACCAGCTGTCACTCATCTTGCCTCGGGTACCCTAAATAGATCACATGATAGGGTGGGGTAAGGTCTCTCAGTGGTTTCACCCAAAACTCTTTGTGATGACGAACTCAGTAGTAGATCAACAATCACCTCCAAAGGGGAACAATTCCCAAAAAGGGTTCAAATTGCCTTCTTTTTTTTTTCCCTCTTAACGTGACACACTGCCTCAAATACTTTAAAAAAACATGCATTTGTCTCATCTGATAGAAACACGAAGGAAAGAAGCAGGAGAAGTGCCAGCATATGCTTGTCAAATAAAGCCTGATTTTAGTTTCGTTTTCTTTCTATAAATAGAGATATTTCTAAACTGGAAATGTTCAAACTTTCAAACGGGCGCAGAAAAAAAAATCAAAGGGTATTAAGTGTCTGATGGTTCAGATTTCCTGGAAGGACGATCATTTCAGTATACTGTAAACGGAAACACTGCATATACATATTATACTAGAGAGTACCTGTGTGCAGTATGAATAACATAACCACTGAACCAGAGGTGTAAGCACCTTTTGCAAGGCACTCAAGGAAACCAATGAACAGCCTCAAAAATAAATGAACAGGTGGAGATGAAGACTGTATCTATTTGCAGATTACAGCTCCACCACAAATCAAACTTCCATATAGTCAAGTAAGTAAGACTGAATGAAGGCAGATTAAAAATTAATTGCATCTGCTCACACATTACTCATCTGTAGGGTTTTCTAAGTACTCAGATGTAACACTGTGAGGAAAACTCAAAGAAATGGCAAACAGAAGTTCATTCTAATAAATTGGAAATGTGGGTCACGTCCGTCAAATGGAGAAAGAAACTTGTCACAGTGAAGACAAAAACAATGTATAAAAGTCAAAACATTTTAATTAAATCATTAATAACACAGATAAAAATAGTAAGAACACTCCATGTAATAAAAATCTTCAGGTATGCTGGGTTGTCCTTCTTGTCACCTCACGTGAGCAGACAATGCAAACCAACCTTCTCGAGCTCTCTCCTTGTCCATCTATTGACAATAAAGAAAGTTTTTTTTTAAATCCAAGCAACGACATGTAAATAATGCACTGTGTGTGTGTGTGTGTGTGTGTGTTTGTGTACCTGTGTTTTGCGTTTGTGTACCTGTGCTTTGCCATCCCTGGTTTCTCTTTCAAAACTGTAAGAAGATGCATTAGAGCCAGCAAACCTGCAGCAAAGATAATTAATCATCTACATCATGTGATCTTCAGTCAGTCAGTTCTTCTTCCTGACATCATCACTTTGTGTCTGTTTAAGGTGCTGGAAAAGAAATGGGAAAAAGAACCTTGCTGTTCTTTGTCGTAACATCCGTCTCTGAGCCCAGATACTCACCTCCTCTCACCCTCACCGCCACCACTGTGTGACCGGAGCTCCCGTTCAGGCAGCAGCTCTGATGCCTCCAGGCGTTCCGCTGCAAAAGATGAGGCGTAATGATTTTAAACTGTCATGTGTGCTCCAGACAGACAGCGACATGCTGCTTTTACCCACTGGATTCTGGATTTGGGCTGAAGGCAGAAGCCGGGATCGGGGAGACAGAGGGAGAGACTCTGGCTGAAACACTTTGCTTTTGTTGCTCGATTATTTCCAGCAGTCGACCTCGGGCTGCAGCGCTCTGCCTGTTCAGCTCCAGGAGGCGTTGCTCCACGCTGTTTGCACTGAAAGTGTTGGGTGATGTTGCCTAAGCAAAAAAAAAAAAAAAACACAACAAAAAACGAGACACACTCTGCATGTGAATCATTACTAAATCTGAATGAGGAGGCCACCTAAAGCCTCAGTGCAGTTCATTCCTCGACACACCTGTCCCATCACGCTATGAAGGGAGGATCAGGAGAGCCACTACTCCACCTCTAAAAGGTGAGCTGCTCTCAGAGAGTTTCAAACAACCCCTTAAATCTCACCTGTTGAGTCAGCTGTTGTTCTTCAGGAGTCCACACATGCTGGCTCCGCCTCTCTTT